ATAAAATACAGTCCATCTCGATGAAGCATCAATGTTGGTGTCTTGTGGCTGTAAAGACACTTTAATTTTCCAGGTGTAATATTGGAAACCAGGTCTTAACAACAGGGAACCATACTACCAAAACACTATACAAATCGACACTTCTCTTCTTCTTCTTCCAATAATCTGCATACCACCTCTGGTGTATTGACGCAGGTAGACTATAGACTGCTTGATGCAATAAAATTGTAACCTCGAACAAACTTTATGCTTTAAAACTACAGGGTAACACATTATTTACCTATTTCTCTGTCCGGGGCAAAAACAAATAATGTTCACCCAAGCCTGATCTTGCAGACAACGGTGAATTTTTGTAATCTCTGTAAATCGCATTTGAAGCTAACCAGTTATCAGAAAACCCCCAGATACATTTTGTTTGAGAAAGGGCACACATCGATCAACTGAGAACGTCTGTCTTGCATTCTCAAATAAAACGTCGATGAGGACGACGGTACCACTTCTGTGAAGTCGGTTCCGTCCAACCGGACGTCGACGCGGCATAAACAGAGAAATCAAACTGCAGATGCAAGAAGCGCATCTTCATTTGCAGGTGGAAGTCAAATTCTCCGAATGGGCACAAATTTTACCATCAGACGAAGAAAGTAACAAAAGTTGCCTGCAAGAAGGCTCAGATAAATGAATATTTTGGTAACGCTATATCCGCATATTCCATTGTCAACCCGAACTCTTTTTTAAAGGCTTTATTATCACTGAATATTTCCATTACTTCTCAAGTTGGACTCAATGCAACTACCAATTGCTACTTGTTTTATTTAAGGATTGAATCTTGCTTTGTTCGATTTCATGGTGGATGAATTGAGTTGGTCTTGAAACAAATTCAACTGCGAAGCACCATGAAATCGACCAAAGCAAGATTCAATCCTTAAATGGAAGGAATACTCGGGTATTATACCATTGAATTTTTCTTCATGACTAATACATCTCAGGAAAACATATTTAATAATCCGCTTCCTTCTACTTTTAGCACCAATGAACGTCACTGTATCAATGATATCAATGACGAAGGTGATACAGCACATCCAGACATACATCCAATCCATGTAGCATCTGAAAGTGTAAGGAAACTACCAGATTGCCTGAAGTTTCATAAAGCATCAGCACTTGTTAGGTATCAACAATGCTGTTCATGGAATTGTTCACAGAGATGACACCGCAACTCCGAATACTTTCCATGCGTCCCTGTCACAAAGCAGCCAGTATATACCATCAGAATGAAATGACGTATATTCTGTCCCCAGTTATGAGAAAGGGACAAATAACCGCTTGCAGAAACCTGCAGGCCAGAAAGTCTGGCAGCATGTTGGAATACCCAAACCATCGTGACATATGAACTTACGCATAACACGGATTCGGTAAGCAGCGAACCTGTGAGCTGCAACTCTCTTGGGGTTTTCCAAAGTTGTTGATAGCAGAGATCATCAAAAAGAGAGTTTACAATGTTTCTTTGTACGAATTGGCGCATAGAGCATCTAGGAGATATGAATGGAGAGGTGAAAGAAAACCTCGTTACAGACGCTCGCAGCAAGCGGTACTTCACGGATGTAAGTACTAGAATTGCACTTGTGCAATTCAGCTTATGCTCTTCAATGCAGCGTACTCCAACCTTTTCTTATACTTAATATCAACTATATACTTGATTACTTATAATATACAACATTTATATAGCGCCCTATATAATTTGTAAAATAACTCTAAAGCGCTTTACAACATATGGATAATAGTATTAGTAATAATTGTGAAACAAAAATCGCTTACAATTTCCACTATACATTAAGCAAGGGTGGTATTTACGTGACGTCTGTGCAAATAGTCTAAAATGCAGGCGTGAAGAGGCGAGTTTTGATGTCTCTCTTGAATTTGGCCAGGGTGTTTAACTTTTACATCATCAACGAGTCTATTATCTGTTGTTTGACCATGAATGGGTGTTGTATTATGGAAAGATCAGGGCCCCAGATGACCTTAAGCTCTCCGTGTCTGTTAGGGAGAGAGAGATTGGCTCAAGGAATTCCAATCGAAGAAAGGTAAGATTTTTCAACAAAAAAGCTCCCCTCCAGACTCTTCAGACGTAACGTCAGATGTTGACGCACAACAGTGTAACACACTTTTAACGTCATTTCGTTTCAGGTTTGACGTTTGTGGCACACGGCCGGCTTTGTAAAACACGTGCTTTCAGAGCTATCGGAATGAAAATAGACATATGTAATGCCTATTTATTTGACATTCATATGGTCACGGTTTTGTATATGACAAGTGTAACCAATTTTGACAATGATCGAGTTGAACGTGAAGATAATGTTTAAGAAGAATGTGATAAAATAACGCTACCCGTATAAGTACCATCTGCTTCCTTAATATCAACGATGATATGTAAGTTATAAAGCACATATTAATTAAGTACATAGAATAACATGCATATATTAAAATAATCCGTATTTTTTTTTATTTGATTGAAGTCCGAGAATGAAAGCGCGCTCAGATTATAAGTTACATTGTATAATGACGTGATGTCATTTGTCATTAAGTCATACATTGCCATTGAAATGCTAGAGAAGAAGCGTCAGAAAAATGTATCAGTACGGACCAACATACATAACAACATCACAGACTAAAACAATCACATCAGCCACGAGGCATAACATTCATACAACTGTTCAAGGAATACTAACGAGCTGTGTTACAAAATCTATCAGTCACACATCTTCGTAAATCAAAGGCATATGGATCTGAGAATGTTTTACAGCTATATTTGGTCCTAAACTAAGATATTTCAGAGTAATTTTACACGTCTTAGGGGTTCTATCATCTTTCGGTAACCCTCCACCCAATAGTGATATCATATGCATATATATCACCACCGGGGTGGCATTGAATTTTGATCTAAACCCCGAAAGCGTGTAAAATTACTGAGAACACCTTAATTTAGGTCCAAATATAGCTGGAGAACATTCTCAGGTCCCTGTGATCAAAAGATTCCGCTCCCGACACACATATATTCTATACAGTAACACCATTGGAATATGTCGTGACAAAGTTGAAAGTTCTGCTCGCGCAACTAGCGGGTGATACATACTTTATGTAGACTCAATTATTAGTTTGTCCTTTGAATTGATGTATTTCAAAAGAATCTCGCGGTAGCACAACGACAAATTGACTGGTTTTGAAGTCGGTTGTCGCTCCACTGTACTCTTCAACGGACAGGTATCAGCCTAACGATTGTTTTACAACTGAAACCAATAAAATAGTCAACCGCGTGCCTTCGACTTGGTAGCGTAGATTGTGTATAGATTCCGCTCCCCAGGGAAAAATTGATGTAAGAGTTACGCGGTAACCGTTTAGGATAAAAAAAGGGGGCGTCCGCATTCTCTTTTTGAAAACGGCCTTTGTAAAATATATTTCTACTTTACTTTAATATAGTTTCTATCGCCCCTTATTGAGAAAAAGAAATTACATTGTATTAAGGGTTGTCACGGCAAAACGTTTTCTATAAATGATTTAAACCCCGGTCTGGCCGTGCGTTTTTCCTCTCCTGTTACAGTGGTTCCTGTGGTCAACCATTGTTTCAAGCATATGGTGTATGCAAGGGGATACCCGGGTTATAAATAGTTGTGTCTTCTTGGGCGAAGAGTTAGAAAAAGGAGGGAGGAATGTAGCGGAACTGGACTGGATCGATCGTCGCGCTACAATGTAGCTTAATTGGTAGAGCGTCCGTCTAGAGTTCGGAAGGTCCCTGGTCCGAACCCTAGACTGGCTGTGCAGTATTTCTTTCCTGTTGCATATTTAAGCTAATTGTAACAAATTCATTCAAACATTGAACTGCTTTCAGTTGGCATTCATAGGCAATATGAATGCTGACTGGACAAAGGCAAATTCCATGAAGCGCGCTAGAATAACTTTATTTTTCATTTTCTTTTGTCAACAAACGTTACAGAATGGTCGATCAAGGGGAGGTAGCCTCAACTTATTTTCATTCCATGGAATTCCTACGCTGTTGGCAATTCATGAGCTGAACAACTCGATGCTATGAAATGCTAGATGTTTAAGCATTGAATTGCTTTTAGCTGGCGTTCATAGGCTAGCGCGCTTCATTGAATTATCCAGTTGGAATTTATAATGCCTATGAATGCCAACTAAAAGCAGTACAATACTTATACTCATAAAAAAACCCGATTGCATTTATTCTTATTCAGCATTTATATCATATGATGTATGCATCGTGTATGCTTGTTCAATGAATATAACAGCTATCGCCCAGGGAGGGTCAGTGGTATCCAACGTAACAATAGGTCTATGTCATTCATAGCCTATATGAATGCCAACTGAATTTGATAGGTTATATAGTGGCAATGCCTTACGATGGTAAATATTAAAATATAATGGGCACCCATTAAATGTCTGTTTATGATTTTTGGGAGATTTTTTTGTGCAAGTACCATACTACCCCATTTTTTATATCGTTTTTTATTTATTTTTTATTTTAGAGGATTTGCTTTGGCAACTCGGGCAACCCTATTGATGTGTTTCTTTAGTTAAAAGTTTCAGTTGCAACTTCTTTGCTAACGCATCTTAAATTTTGTCCCAACCCAAATGAAAATAAATTAAAAATTAATAAACTAGTAACAACAGGTTTACATATTAATGTTAAACATTTTTTTCCACATCAAATAGGCATCTAATTCTCACATTTAGCTAAGTTTGACAAGTCCTATCTTTTATCCAAGCATCCCATGGATTTTCAATATGGATCACATATTATCCGCATTTTTTTATTATTTCATTTTAAATTTGTATGTGCTTCAGGGACTGCCAACGCATCGAAACAACAATGATATAACTAAAAATGCTGTTTGAAAAAATGGAAAATTACCCCACCCGGTTTCCAGTCACTCACGTTGTGTTCTACCTTTCACGTGAATTTGCATGAATTATGTCCCTTTGGTGTTTCCGGTAAAGAGAAGGAAGTGTTGGTCTGCTGGAGACACACCTCAACATCATGAGATTATGACACGGTGAAGGAGATATCAACATAACGACATGGGAAACTGTTTTGGGAGATGCTTCGGCATTTCCAGCAAAAAGTATTTCAATCTTTGATTTTTCCAATTAACTTGTTTATTTGCCACGTCGCAGCGATAAACGTCATGTCGCGTCCTGTTAGTTTGTTGATGTTTGTAAAAGTACCATGTAACTATAGACTGTTTGCATGTTTTTGGCGATTTCACGTGCATGTCTGTACTTTTATGACAAACAACTCACGTTTTGCCAAATAAATGACACACATGTACACATACACAGGCCTGTATTGAGCATGCATGCACATGAAGTGATATAATGATCTGTGCACTTCACTGAAGCTTCAGTGTCAGTACTGGCTTATGATTATGAAGACACTCACAGTCCTGAGCATAATTATGTAAATGAACTGTTGAGCGTCCATTTGTGGATGCAGCTCCAACATATGTGAGATTAAAAATTCTTGGTGGTTCATAGGATATTATGAATGTCTTGCTTACCATGAAATTAACAAGTTGCATGCATATGTAGTTGTATATGTACAGTGCTTGATACACTACATGATGTAATTTATACGTACTAGAGAGCACACATACAGCTGCTGACCATGCTCAGTACAAGTATTGCTTACGTTTTGAATGAGTCCCCAGGCATAAACTGCAGAAATAAAAAAAAATAGATTGCAAGTAAGGCAGTGTTTCCCCATATAATCATTCCTCGGCTGCTACACTATCCTGTCCTCTTTGAAGTCTCATCCCAAGACTGACTTTGCCTGAGGAATCCATTGGGTCCTCACTGTGAACCAATGCACTCCCGGGCCACCGGTAAATGCTGTTTTAGGTATCCCAGGGTCATGAAGCCATCAACAAATGTACAGTGTGAGAGGGCACCGATCATAAAGAAACTTACCTTGCTTTATGTTGCTGGAAAACGTTCAACGTTGTGCAACCAGATTAGTGCCATGTCTCAAAGACCTAAGCTACCCCGAAAGACTGCTTAGTTTAGGGCTTCCAACGCTAGAATACAGACGTATCAGAGCGGATGTGATTGAATTATTCAAAATTATGGAGGAAATTGACATTGTAGATCAGGACAAAATGTTTATAAGAGCGCGCCTCGTTGGAATTCACGAGGAAATAGCAGAAAGCTGTCCAAGAGGAGAACAAATAAGGCCATATACAGTAACTTCTTTAGCAATAGAGTTGTGGAACAGTCTACCCGATAATGTGGTCAATTCTCCAACTGTGGACACATTCAAGAACAGACTGAATAAATTCTGGTCGGATCACGCAACAAAATTCCGCGCAAGTTGTTATTCCTGACATTAGTAGGTCTATCTATACACATCCGGAAGTGAAAAGTGCTTTTAACAAGTATTTTAACATATATTCAAACGCGCCATAAGAAGCTCACAGCTTTCAATCTGCGTCATCGCTATATGAACTATATGAACTTAACTATATTCTTGGCTCTTACACTGGTCAATTTTTAACTGCCTTTCCCATAACCGCTTATGTTTTAAAAATATCATCTACCAATGTCTTGAATGTTATGACAGTTTTGATTGGTTGCCATGGATTATTGGACATATTAACCCTTTCACCCCTAGGTTTCTTTAGTAGACTCTACTATACATTCAGTTCATGCAGCCCTATTTAATAGTGTGACAAAACAACTTTTATTTTCTTTATATATTTAACATGTAAGAATATATATTATCAATATCCATGTATGTTTGTTCATTGAAAAAACAGAAACAAATATTATTGACCTTGCTTACCGGTCCAGTAAGTATTTTTTCTGAATTATTTTTCATAATGAATTATGCATACTCGTAGTTCCTAAATCATAGATCTGCAAAATTATGCAATTTTTTATTTGAAAAATGAAAATTCTTGATAAAAATCTATACAAGATATAGAGGATCTGTCATAAGTTTCTCAGGCGAGCAAATATGAAAAATCCAAATTGAGTTTCATATATCTAATATGAAGGGAAGCGAATGACAGATTCTTAATATCATATAATACAAAGTAAACTGTATAATTGTGATCAGAAATGAATATTTTGCATTTGGCTGCCTCTGAAACGATGAAAATTGCGTCCGCTTCACAATGATGTGATGTCACATTGATTGTTCCTATTCGATTGTAACATCATTTCTGGAGTGATATCACACACGTTACATAAACTTAATTTATGTGATGGCTTTATGACACTACATAACACGGTATTCATATGATAGAACTGTGTATAAGAATTGTTTGATTTCTATTATAGGAGGAAGTATCTGAGAACAAGATACAGTGTGGAAAGAGACATATCTGTGGAGGTAAGATTGTCAATTTGTTATATTTCATTTTTGTTTGTCTTATTATAGAAAATGGCACCAAAAAAGGTTTTAAATCCCCCTATACTTTATACCTAAAGTGTGATATTTTAGTAATTTTTATTGATTAAACTTTGAAAATCTACCAGATCCTTACAGTTTTGATTTTGAATGTTAATTATTAATCTACTTCAAAACAAGTCTTTCAGTGTTTATTAGGGTTAAATTTTACCATAGAAGGATTTTTGTGCATAAGATTTCATGCCATTATGTTACCTTATTTAGAATTAGCCTGTTATATAAAAGCTTATAGATTTCGTTGAAAACCGCAAGAGTTTTCAAAGAAATAGAAATATGAAAGTGCAATGAAGATTTTTGTGTTTTGTTTCTTGGATGTGAATTTAAAAAAAAAAGAATTTTGGTGGTTAAATGCTCACCCAACAAATCACCAAATTTGAAAATAAAACCTTTGTGCGATTAGCCATCTGTATCATACCATCCAACCCCGGATGTACTGAAAAACATAGTGTATGGTATATGTATGGCATCAAATCAGTCCAAACGTGTCTTGAGGTTGGAGTTAAGCTTTGATAGTGTTAGACTAATTCTTACGACAGAAGTGGAAATTTTCATGTTTTTCTTGTAAAGTTAAAAATATCCACATGTGAATATATATTTATAAAGTATATCATTAATACTGATATATACTAGGTTTCTGAACCATTTCCAACACAAGCAATTTCTACACATTTTAAGGGTAGCAATGCAAACATTGATAACTCTCATGAAACATCTTATGTCTGTCTGTCATACATACTTATTTCCAGTATCTATGGGAATCAGATTCAGTTACCTAAAGTAAGGAGGCATTCACATGGGGTTGGAGGCACGGTAGTCTAGTGGTAGGATGCCGGGCACATGACCGAAGGGTTGCAGATTCGAGTCGCGTCACGGCACTGTGTTGTATCTTTGAGCAAGATACTTTATTCCGCTTGTTCCAGTCTATTCAGCTGTAAATGAGTATGTGGTTGGGGAGTGCTAGAATGTGGGCGCGGAAATGGCAGCACCCGCTGTATGCTCCCCATGAAGTTGAGAAAGATATTGGCTGGTTGCAAAGGCCCTATAACCAGGGATAATAATTTGTGAACCGCTTTGAGACGACCTACGAACTAGGTTGTGATAAAGCAATATATAAGAACCTCAAATTATTATTATTATTATTATTTCTCCCCTCTATGGGCATCAGTGCTATTGTTATGCAAAGCAGGAGCAATAGCATCAGAATGACACCAATCAAATGGCATTCATAACCCTATGAACACAATGTCTTCTGGTATTGTTTATGTATGGACCTGCAGTGCAATAATATAAATTATAGCCAGATGACACTGTATTATCATATCTTATGATATTTTCCCTTTAAGACAAGATATTGGTGAGAAATAATCATTATGTAGGTATATGAAATGGATATGAAAATTCTGTCCTCTGGTATAGAACTGCTGTACCCATCTCATCTACTTAATTAGATAGAGGCTATTGATGTTTTCCTACCTTGGAAAGTTGCCATGCACACATGGGTGCCAGGGTCAGTCATAGTGATCTTGAGCTGGCAGTCAGATTCAAGGTAGTTTGGTATTGCAGTACCTACTTGGTACATTATAATGTAAACAGGCTATCTGATCCCCTGTTTGGTGCTGGTAGCATACTTGAATATCTTCTATAACCTGTAAAAGACTTAAGTCTGCCTGTGAACAGGCACAAGGGGAACTTATTTTTATTTTTAAATATTTCATGTCAAAGAAATGTTTTCCTGTATGCTTCATGTGAGTTGATTGAAAGGTTAAAAGCTGATTTTTCTATGGAGTTATGTCCCTTGTACCAGTCAGCTTCTCAATCCCGAGACTAAATAAATGAATCCTGACATTTTTTTCAAGAAGCTGCTGTATTTATCTTACAATGAACTGAGGGAGCCAACACACAGTCTTTGAGATTGTATTTGTTGGCATCTGTCACAAACTGCAATATGGTTAGGCTTATTACAGGATAATGTAATTAGATTTGTTGGCAATTTTACTTCAATAGATATGGGTTTATTGACAGAAAAATACTGTATACCGACCATGTACATTGGGGTCAGTGGTATATGAGATCTAAAGGGTTGAGATGGGGGATCCTTAAGCTGCCAAACAAAGCTGACGTGATGTTGATGTATTTTTGATGTGACGTCGTTGTATTGTTATGAATGGGGGAATCCCCGTCTCAACCCTAGGACAAGACAAGCTGTTCTCTTACCCTGGACAGGTGTATCCGCACTTTTACTGCTGTGAGATTTCCTTGTCTCACCCTAGGGTTCAGACGGGGGGATTCCCCTATTCATAACAATGGTATGACGTCACTTAAACAATACAATGACGTCACGTCAACAATCCATCAACATCACATCAACCCTGAGTTTAGCCTGAAACGTTAACGCTACGATATGCATATGATACACTATAGGTGAACAGGGTAAGAGAAAAAGAATCATTCACCCGCTTGAGGGTGAGATAGGGGAATCTCAACCCATGGGGAAAGATTCTTAAGTTGCCAAACACTCGGCAAAGCCTCGTGTTTGGCAACTTAGGGCCCCCCCCCTTGGGTTGAGATTACCCTATCTCACCCTCAAGAGGGTGATAGATTCTAATATTCTCCCCCATTAGACGGAGATATCCACACTTCTGACCAGGGAAAGATATTTCTGTCTCCCACCCTTTACAGGTGTGTCTCGGTCTGTTTCAGCCGGGAATGATCAGCTTGTCGCCCCCTAGGGGGAGATAAGATAGTCTTGTGCCGATTAGTACGTTTTCAATTGTGATGTCATTAAAATGCGTCACCCGTAACTGTGATGTCATCAAAAGTGAATGACGATATTCATACCCCCATTTGCTTTTGTTTACAAACACACTATTGTCAGTGGAGTTAATAGAAGGGGGGGAAATAAACACCTTAAGGGTGTAACAGAGAAATCTCCTTCTCGGCATCAAAATTAGCAGATCACAGAAGACAACCCTGATCTGCTGGAAATTATGATATGAACATTTGCATTTCATGAAATATCACTTGTATTTGATGTGGGAGAAAAAGAAAATCATTCCCAAATGTAGGTGTAAGACAGAAAAACCTCAACCCAATCTGATTAAAACCAGATCTTTAATGCCACTCCGATACTCTATGTTCCAGTCAAAGCTTTGACTGGAAGTTAGATTATCGGAGTGGAATAAAGATCATGTTTTAATCAGATTGGCCTCAACACCGCATCAGGGTAAGATTCTTAAATGTCTGGCCCATGGCAAAGCCTCGGGCTAGACATTTAAGAATCTTACCCCTTGGGTTGAGATTTTTCAGTCTTATCTCTTCAAGGTGGGGAATAATTCTTTTATCTCACGCTTGGATAAAAGGAAAAAGAAAGATGACATATTGTGTAATGTTCAGATTTTACATGAGGATTGGAATGGAGGAGGAAAAATAAAAACTAACTTAATTACAATGGTTTTTTTTATTACAAGTTTTAAATGCAAACATTATTACCATAATATATCAAATCCGTTTGCAAATTCCTACCGGATACTGATACATAATTATCTTACATATGCATGTTTTATATCTATTTGATTCTTGAATCAATTACAACAAAACCCAAATAAGCTGAAGCAGAATTGAGCAATAATTTTGTCAATGCATGGAAATTTCAAAGTCTGAATTATCCGAGAACGATGCTAATATTTCCATGAATATACTTATAGCTTTTGTATATAGGCGAATTGATTAAAACTTTCACCGTATTCCATAACTGAAATGTGTAAACTACTGATTAAAATGAGCAGTTTAAATAAGAACTATTCTACCTGACTGATTCAGCATACTGTTGTTGAACAATATAAATGATTAAATGGGTGTATTGAAAAATTTAAATCATTGTAGAGAAGAAGTCTGATAATGTTTGAGCGAATGCAGAATGGCTTGAGTAACAGGATAGTCGGTGTGGTATTTTGTTTTGGTAACAGAAATAAATCGAGCATAGTACAGCACTTCGCTTTGGAATTGAAATACCATCCTAAGAAAATCTGACCATCTACAATTATTAGCCCTCACAGGTTCAAAGCCTATATGTGGGGCAGTTGTCAGGTATCGTCTGCAGCTCTGTGAATTTTCTCCGGTTACTCCGGTCTTCCCCGTCCACCAAACCTGGCGCGTCCTTAAATGACCATAGATTGTAACCGTTAATAGGACATAAAACACAAAACAAACACGGCATCCTGGTGTCGAGGGATTATAATATGGATTAATAGTGTATCGATTTCTAGTGTAGCATTTTGTTTGCATTGTCACTTATATTAGGTACTGTGATCATTTGACAGTAAATGGTTGTTAGGTGATTAAGTGGTTAAACCTGTTATATATCATGACTATTTAATAAGTAACTATTCCATAGTAGACCGGGGAAATTGAATCTTGGTTGTTTGCTTCATCCATGGGTGAGCCTAAAACCAGCCTGTGTGTACTAAACACATAATAATTGCCTCGTTAATCAAGACCTCAGCTGATGTCAGTGACCAAGGTCCTTGTATATAGTTCAAATTCATGTCTCGCCAACCATGAAATATATAATAGGTACAGATACAGTTTTTACATATCAATTTGATGAATTTATGTAAGCCACTCTAAAAGAGTTATGATAAACTGTCCAAACTGTCCGTAAGAAAAATATTTACACTTAAAATGACCAGATATATAGATTAATGATAAAATATACTGTTTATCTCATCTAAAATGCCTTTGCAGCTTGTGGCAGTATCAAGTTCATCGTGCTGAAATTAAAAACACAACTTATCACTATTGTTCAAATAAATCAACAAAATTACGGTGAATGTAACTAGCCTTGTTAAATAAAACGGAATGGATATGAGCCTTGTTAGGAGGCACGTTAGTCCAGTGGTAGGACGCCATGCTTGTGACCGAAG